GATTCTTTTAGTTCTCTTGGAAAGATACCCAACAGAGGGATGGCTGGGTCAAATGGAACCTCCAGTCCAAGCTCTTTGAGGTATCTCCATATTGATTTCCATAGTGGTTGCACTAGTCTGCACTCCCACCAACAATGGAGGAGGGTTCCTTTCTCCCCACAACCCCGCCAACATTTGTTATTGTGTGATTTCTTGATAGCAGCCATTCTTTGTGGGGTGAGGTGGAATCTCAGTGTTGTTTTCATCTGCATCTCTCGAATGACCAGTGATGTGGAACAATTAATTCCTATTAATCTTCATGAATTATAATTTAAAAAGTATTATAAAGTGATTATACCTGTTATTATCAAATAACTTTGAAAAGAAATGGAAAAGTAGTAGTGCAACTGTTATTACAAATTCTAGTTATTTGAATCGTTAATGTAAGACATCAAGGGATATTCGATGTTTTGAGTACACTTTAAAAGGTAGAACTGGTCTCAATTCACAAGTGGAAATAGTAAACAAGAGAAAAAAATAATTTATTCCTTCCATTAAAAAATGTGCTTTGTCCAAACCTGAGGTTGCTAGAGCAGTACGTAGATAAGCCTATCTCTTTATTAGCCAGCAGGTGGCAGCATTGCTACATGAAAAAAATAATTCAGGCGCCTCTTCCTTTACGTAGTTTCCTTCTCTTTAAATTTAGCCAGGGGAGCTGGATTTGAATTCTTAAAAGGATAAAATGACGATCTTTGCTCATCATTCTTCACTTCCGCTTTTATCAGGAGATATATATATGACAAAACTGTTATGTTTTAGCTTTTCTCCCCCACCCAAACACCTCTCTGTCACTGATGTAAATGAACTCCAGGAATAAACTCAGCCTAGAAAAGCTGAAGGAAGCTGGCTTAGCCCTCGCAGGTCTCGGCGGTGGCGCTCTTCCTAACTGAGCCTTCTCTCTCCAAGTGGAGCTTGCCTGAGGCCATGACCTCTCCTTGCAGATCCCCGGGACGTCTTCGGTGGTGCAGAGGAAGTGGAAGGCCCTGCAGCCGGCCTCGCAGCCTCGGGGCTCAGCGCCGCAGGCCAAGTCTCGGATCAGCGCGGTGGCCGCGGAGATAAAGCAGATCCGGGCCCGGCGGAAAACAGCGCGGATGCTGATGGTGGTGCTTCTGGTCTTCGCCATCTGCTACCTGCCCATTAGCATCCTCAATGTGTTAAAGAGGTAACGCTGCTCCTCCCCTGTCTGAAAATGCGGTGGCCTCACGTTTTAACCAGTAACCCCACCCCTCCACTTTTTTTTTTTTTTTTTTTTTTTTTTTTTTCCTTTGGCTAAGAAAATCTGGACCTTCCGCCTGGATCCCAGTCAGACCTGCAGCACTGCAGATCCAGTTGCCACCCCAGGTGGGCCAATGGCCTGCAGCAAGCACACAGGGGATCCTACCGCTGACCCTGGAGGAACAGATGCGGGATCCTCTCCGCCCAGCCTGGCTGCCTCGGGTGTAGCAAAAGTTCTAATGCAAAATCACAAACACGAAAACGGAATCACCTCATTTACTGATTTTTGTTTGTTTGTTTGTTTCCTACCTTGTTTGCTTTTTGATGAGAACAAGTGGAACATGCAAAACTTGGTTCCCAAAGACATGAGCTATACGACAGGAGTCTTTCTAAAGGATACACCTAGATGAGTGTTTTGAGCGGTGAACAACAAAAAATAATTAAAACAGGTATCTATGTGTGGAATGTTTAAACAGAAGGAGAGGAAATCTATTTCTTAGAGGGACTGAAAGAAGCTGAAGATGAATATTAATAAAAATCAGCACCGAAATTTTCAGCCAGGGAAAAGTGGGTAATTTGTTGTATGCTACACAAAAATTTAAGTTCAAATAATCAAGCAGACAGAAAGAGCCAGGGCACAGGCCGAACATCATTGGGAATCAGACTGTCGCTCTTAGACTAAGCCAGGGCGATGTAAATTCTGTTCGTAAATCCTTCAGCCTTCTCCTCCATCCTCTCCTCTCCTTTGGCTTTCCCTGACTTCAGGTCAATATCCAGCTCCCTACAGCCAGGGACCCTGGGGAGAGGCAGCTTTGGCTGGAGTCAGCCTGAAGTTGGTGTATCCACCTGCACAGATTTCTCCTTCATGTTGGCCCTGGTTTTTGATGGCTTCAGGGCCTTCTCGATGGGGAAGAAATGGAAAAGCGAACTTTTGTTTGGTAATATTTACTGCAGTCAGAAGATTTGGGGCAGTTTTGACCCATGTGCCAGCTCACAAAATTGTTTTGCCCTCTGTGACTTTTCGTAACCCCTACCTTATTTTGTGCTCAGAAAAATGCCATATAAATTTATTCTGTTCTCTGCTCCACGGTGTTGCCTGTTCAGGAAAGCCTAAGCAAACAGGCTGTGATACTTACCCTTCCTGCTCTCTCTCCTCTACTAGAAAGTCACAACTCCATGAAAACTGGATTTCCCCTGTCTTGGTTGTTTAACTGCATTTCTTACATAAGAAAAAATAATCTTAGCTTTTTTCCTTAAAACTTAAATTTTTGCCTGTTTAGTCAAAACCAACTTCTTTAAAGCAGTTTTGGTTTCTCCAAGATTTCAAAGATTTTTTTTTTCTCTTTGTTGAACCTATTTCTCTCTCTCCTTCTCCCCCCACTCTCTGAATATCACTTTGTTCCAGGAGTGCACTAATGAATTTCTATCATGTGAAGGAAATATAGATGTGTCACAGAATTGATGACATCCCATGGCAGGAAATGTGCTGTCTTTCACTTATAAATTTATTGGATAGCTGCAAAGTTATCTTCTGTAGATCAGTCAATAGAATTTGATACAGGAGATATCTCTAAGACTGTAACAAAACTTAAAACAGCCTGTAAAGGTAAGGCAATAAAAAACTTTCAGAGTTTAATAGACTATAAGAAAAACGAAAACTCATGAATCTTAAGAAATGATCAGAAACTTATCTGCAGAAAATTAGTTCTCTGAGTACAAGGAAGTCCTAGCAGTCAAATTGTAGCAATGCCAAGTGCATGTTTTTTTATCATTGCACCAATGAGGAATGGGAGTAGTACTTGAAGACTGCAGTTTAAGAGGTTTTTGCTTTTGTTTTGTGCATTAAAGCAAGGCCTTCACACTGAGCTACATCTTTAGCTGCGCCCCCCCCCATTAATTTTATTTCAATATAGGATTTTTGTTAAGATTGCCACATTGCCCAACCTGGGCTCAAACTTGTGATCCTCCTGCCTCAGCCTCTTGAGTGCTGGGATTATAGGTGTGCGCCACCACCCCTGGCTCTCAATGTCTGTATTGTTATCCAAACTAGTATTGCTTTATTTCTGAGAGAGAGAGAGAGAGAGAGAGAGAGAGAGAGAGATTTTTGTCTGACCGGGTACACTTTTTGTATACTAATTGCAGCATGTAGCTGTGTCCAGATCCAAAGCTCTTTTCCATGACCTGTGGTTGTGGTCAGCCCACGGGGCAAGACCTGCAGTGGCTGACAGACTCCTTGCTCACTTTTGACTCTAAACATCTAGAAGCTGCCATCCAGAATCACTCTGACTTTGCTCTTTCCTTCCAGGGTGTTTGGGATGTTTACTCACACAGAAGACAGAGAAACTGTATACGCTTGGTTTACATTTTCACACTGGCTGGTATACGCCAATAGTGCTGCGAACCCAATCATTTATAATTTTCTCAGTGGTAAGTTTTCACTCCTTCTCTATAAATCACAGTCCTGCCCACAGAGGAAACGAGCTGGGTGGAGATCTGGCTCTGTCTAAATGGACAGAAAGCGCGTAGTCACTAGACATATCTTTGCCTGGCCTGAATTATCTTGAGTCTCTTCCTTTACAAAAATGAATGTGTGTTACATAACTACCCAGAGAGAATTACCTAGATTTTTTTTCTTATAAGACTTCAAATAAATGTTGAAATAGGAGGACAGTTATAATTGTGAGAAATTAATAAGACATACTTGCATATGTGCATGCCATACTTTAAACTTATGATTCAGGAATATGTAAAATACCTTTACCTCCTTTGACTTTCTATGTTATTCTTTTGCCAAAGCATATGCCCTAATTGAGATAGAACTGAATTTTCCCACTCTTAGATGTTCTTTGTATTTGTTTCCCTTAAGCGTCACATAGCTTGCATTTATGTCAAATTTTTTCACTGATAACAAAAGTATCATTCCTAGACAATACATTAGTAAATGACACACACAGGTAGACAGTTATAATTTATTGAATTGATGGTACCTCTCTTTATGAAATAAACATAATTATAAAAATAATTTAAATAATTATTATTTCCATTTGACCTATTAGAATTGTACTTGAATTAGTTACATCTTCGCTCTGTCATCTTCTCGAGCTATTTGACAATTAGTTTTTTACTCTACTTCCAAATATTGCATACATGAACTACATTCCTCTTCTAACTTTGTCTTTGGCTTTTGGGTTAAAAAAGAAAAGGACCCATTGAGCAGCTTCTTGGGGAACTAAGTTGTAATTACATAGGACTGAGAAATTCTGGTGTGATACAGCAAAATAGAGAAACTGTGGAAAACACCTGTGAACTGGATGTTCCAAAGAGCAGGGAGAGAAGAGTTTGAGTGCTGCGCCATGAAGGAATCGCACCCTTGAAGAGATAGACATGTGTAGCCTAAGTTAGACATCGCACAGTGGCTACACATACCGAAGATTTTATTTTTGTGGCCTACATTTAGAATAGGTTAAAAGTGACCTACATAGATGATAAGAAGTCAAAGGGATAAACGATTTCATTTCGAAAGATAACTGTCTCACACAGCCCTGTACAAAGGAAGTCAGACCTCTGGGCTGTCCTGGGGAAGCGTGAAACAGGAGCTGCCGGACTGGAGCTGCAGGAGAGTCTGTGCTGGCTCTGGACAGGTGGACAGGGAGGGAGAGGGGCTCGCTGAGTTTGGCTGGTGCTTGTTGTGCTCCTAGGCCTGCCAGCGTTTCCACCCTCCCCTGATCGATCACTCAGGATCCCCATGGCGGGGGGGGGGGGGGCGGAGGCTCAGAGCTCCGAAATGATAAAGGTGGGCCTTCATGTTCAGGATTCCCCGATCAACCGTCAGTATTTTAAAGCCAGGAACGCTTCGAATGTTCCCCCCGGCCCCCAGTTTTGTTTTTTTTCTTTCCTTTTTTTGCCCTGCCTTATGTAGATTACAAAACTGGAAATTTTAGAAACATTGCAATATTTTTTCTGGATATTTTGTTGAACTCTGTTGTAGCAGTCTCAGGCTCCCACGCTATACATATTTTAGCAAAGTTATGGTACAGGTTTAATTGTGTGTGGAGTCGTTGGGTTCCTGGGCGTGCCTCGTGAATGACCATTCTTACAGTGGTTCTATATAGACAGAATATTAGGACGTTCACTCACACACCGGGTTTGACTAAAAGAATGAAACAGACTGCAAACATCCGGTATGAAAATCGGCCTCGTGACTTTATGATATAGTCTCATTGTTTCAGGGATTTGCCAGGCTTCCAATAAACTTCGTTTCCTTTTCCCATTTGCTCCATCGCGGCAAAGCATTACACCGCACTGGTACATCGGCCTAGGGGAGCCCGTTTTCCGAGCTGCATTTGTTGCGGAGACGTTCGCGTGCACAGTTCTTTTCCCTTCCCTTCTCTCTGCCTCGCCAGGAAAATTTCGGGAGGAATTTAAAGCAGCATTTGCGTGCTGCTGTTGCCTGGGAGTTCACCATCACCAGGAGGATCGGCTGGCGAGGGGACGGACCAGCACGGAGAGCCGCAAGTCCCTGACCACCCAGGTCAGCAGCTTCGACGCGGTGTCCAAGCTGTCCGAGCACGTGGTCCTCACCAGCATAAGCGCGCTGCCCGCCGCCAATGGCACAGGGCCGCCGCACGACTGGTAGACTTTGCCCCTCGGCCCACAATACCCGAGTCAAGCTGTTCTTTTTTAAAAGCTCTCTACACAGAATTTTATTATTCGGATGAGCTGAAGCTGAAATGCTTGTCGATCCAGTTTTTAATAATGAATTGCTCTTTGGAAATTAAAAAAAAAAGTCAGTTTAAAATAATTTCTCAATTTTTGAATTAAATATGTTAGAAGTTTTACCTTCACCTGAACTTATTTCAGCCTCTCTCACTTTTAGCTTCGTGTATTAAAATTGGTGTCAAATATTTGGACAGTTTTAGTTCTTTTTAGCATCGATCTCTTGTTTTAATCTCACGCATTCAAATCGGTTGCTAAAAAATCACAAGCATTTAGGCAGTGGCTGTCTTCTGGCTGCTGAAATAAGTAGCAGTTGATAACTCTCAGTTAACAGCACACTTATTTTAGTTGACTTAATAGTTTTTTAAAAGTCACTCCGATGTGTCATCTGAAAGAACATTTGTATATTGAGTAGCATATTATGTGAGATAATGCAAAAGGTATCTTTCAAAACTACATGAAGTATGCACTATTTCACTTTATTTTCCATTAATTTTGTCATGCGTTTGTCCAATTCTTTCAGATCTTTGACTTGATCGTAGCTAACATTCTTGTCCAACATTTGACCAGTAATACAATATGGAAATAAACATTTTTGGAAAGACTCTTGATATAAGGACGTCCAACTCCAGGGAATGACTTAAGCATTTAAAAATAAGGCAAAGTCACCTTAGTACATTCTTCTAACCAACCAGTGAGACAGTCCGCTCTGCTGGATTGCATTAAGAATGTGCCACTGTCCTAGATGTCAGGAAGGAGGAGGGCCTGACCCACACAAGCCCAGGGAGCTGTAGCTGGTCAGCCAGACTCATTGCCGTGCTAGGAAAGACAGCTTGGGATGATGTCTGGGCCTGAAAGGGCAGGAGCTCAACCAAGGCCAGCCATGGCAGCACCACTGTCCCTTCCCCACATGTGACTACAGTGGCACTTTCTATGAGCTACGTAGAGCTGCGTAGCTAGAAGGGAGCTTGTTTTTAACTCACTCCCACATGAACAAAATGAAGTGTGTTTTGTTATCAAGGTAAGGTCTGGAACCCAAAGCACTGTGTGTTTCCAATCATTCCTTTGCAAAATTCTTCTGATTCAGTTATTGATTTGAATGTAAAATAAGTGATCATAGAATGAGGACCCTCAACTTGAGTAGAGAGACAGGTGTTCTGATTATATAGAAGGGAGATGTAGGCATTGTATTTAAGAAACTTTGTCTTAGAACATAATATCTTGTAAGCCTGTGGTTTTTCAAACTTATTATTCTCAGAAAAAAATAACAACCAAATTATCCACAATTTCTTTTCTAATTTTACAGTTTAGGATTTCATTACCTTGTGCCTTTTACTACTCAAAGCAAAATCTCTCTTGTATGAGGTTTATTGAAGTTATTTTGCTAAATCTCAGCACTGTACTAAAGAAAGTAATGTATTTTAAATCTCTCCTTTCTCCCCTTTGTACATTTGAGAATTTATGCTGCATGAAAGGAGAGTTTGTGATGAAAGTTAGCACTTTAATAAGTTTGAAGATAACTTTAAAAAGCATTGGCAGTACGCCTTAAATTCCAAGTAATAGCTCAGAGTAAGTGTAACTATTTTAGATGCCAATAGAACTATCCTTATTATTTAAAAGTGGAGTGGGGTGGAGAGAGGGAGTGGGGAAAGAGTCCAACTCAGCCAGGTAACATTTCCCGGCAGAGTTGAAGCTGGGATTCTTTTGCTCTAGAACTTTGATTCTCAGGGTGGTTTCTGAACTCCTGGGAAGTCACTGAACATTTAGATCTGCCCCTTATCCAAAGTGTACCAAGCCAGAAGCCATGGGTGTGGTGCCAGGGATCCCGACTGTCGGTACCAACTCTGAGGCTGCTCTCCGAGAGGGGCCAGCAGGCCTGGATGCATCAGCCTGGCCTGTGTGAAATAAAGTCTTTCACTGCACAGGAATCTGCACCTGGGGCTGCAGCCCTCCCTGCTGTCAGCCTGGCTGGAGGTCTGAAGGAAGAGGCCGAGCATCCCTGTTGAATCGTCCACGTTGTTTCACTCAAGAGATAACGGTTTTCAGCTCAGTTGCCACTGTGTTGCAAGTGCCCTGTGAGAGAAGACCAGCTTTGCTGTGACCTGGATGACTTGTGTGTTTAACTACAGGTTTCTCATCCCAGTCTTACTTACTAAATTACAAATTTTGTGGAAGCAGATGGTTTCTAAGAACAATCATTGTTACATGGATGGAAAATATGAAATAAAGCTAGAAATGTTGGGAATAGAGTAATAGACCATGGATTTATCTCTCAACCCTTGCACCCAGGAATCCTTTTAAGAGGCAAGGACTTAGTATGGTTACTTTAATAGAACAAGTGGTAAAGAAGCGGGCGTTCTTAAAACCCCCAAATTTTTGGGAAAAGAGGATCAACTACTTACCTCATTATGTGCTAATGACACAAATGAGAAGACTTCTGGAAAGTATGCGCTGGAGCTGTTCTATGCTGTACATTGAATACATATTCTTTGTTTCTTTCTGTTACATTCAAAGATTTCCTGTAAGATGTTAATGTCACCAAAATTTTGTTATTAATAAGGATGGATGAGATAATTTTACCTAATGTAGAATATATTTGAACTTCATTGTTTTTTGCATATCTACAAAGCCATGAAGACCGTGATATTTGAATTTATTCATTCTTGGCAAAAGAATTACTCTCAGTTTATGAGAAAAAAAACTTTGAATTTTTCTAAAACTCAGAGAATTTCTTGGATATTGCAGCCAGTTATAAATCATTGTTGTGCTAATTAATTGCAAAGTGTTAGGTGCAATGATATTGAGTTTCACTCCCAGTGTACATTGTTTTAATGAAGGTTAAGATAAATATACTAACAAAATTTAGCCTAAATATGCTTAAATCTGAACCAGAATAGCAAAGTCCCAAAGCTGTTTATGGACTCACATTGTGAGGAAGTCTATTATTACTTGAGCTAGTGCTATAATATCATGTTTCACACTTGATATAAATCATAATAGTAATAACTACATTTCAAAAAACCTGGCTAGTCATTACAATTTAGAAGGCTTTTCAATGGAAGTTAATTTTACAACATGACTTTTCTACTTCCTATAAGTTACAAATCAAACAAAAGTAAATTCCATTAGATGATATTCAAATAGTTCTCAAATTGCATGAAGCAAAATAATACTTTTTTTAGAGCCAATATATAAACAGGGAAAATATTGATAATTTCAGTCTATTCTATTACCTTATATACCACAGAAAACAAAGTGCACTGGCATGGAAAACACTATATTATCCCTATCTTTCAAAGTTCAAAGAGAATTGTTTTCTATATAACTACTGTTACTGAAATTGGGGGGTGCAAAACTCCCCCAACTTGCCACGTATTTGTATTTCTATTCTTTACATTTTCTCTATAAGCTTTGGGATTCAAAAGCCTTTTATGTTTTTTCATGAAATATGTTTCTATAATTGTTGTAACTCATGTATGTAACATGTCAGTTATTTAAGAACTCTCTCACACCTTTGAAGTTTTTTGCATCTAGTTTGTTCTGTGTCTTCATGAAAAGATTTCTTATCAAATCCAGTGTGATTGCACATCTAGTGCCGTGGGAGATGGTCATTATGTGTTGTTCTTTTTTTAAGTAAAAACCATATTGAAAATTCTATAATCACATTCACACCAGCCTCTCTATTGTATGAAAAATCCTATTGCTGTTGATTAGATAAACTGAGTATTCACTCATAATCAGTGTCAAATCTTTGCAGTTAGGGATTGAATTAAGCCCTCTGGAGCTGTCCTTATGACCAAAATACTTTCCTCCATAAATTTATATAATCATGGGTAATCATGATATAAAAGATTTTTAACATTGTTTCCGAGAATAGTTCCTATAATAAGGGTTAAGATTAACACAAATACTTCACAGAAGTTACGTAAAACCACATATGTATACCATTAAATTTTGGACCTTTTATCTAAGTCAGAGGTTTAATCTGCTTTGACTTGGAGACAATGATGACCTCATTATTTTCAATTTATTATAGAATTATGTAAATGTATTGCAGTCACATAGATTTTTTTCTAGGCCACTGTATATTAGACTATTTAAAGTTTAAAACATATACTTTCTAAAAATATATATATTTTAAATATATATGCTTTTTAAAAATTAATATATTTTCTGCTTTTCCTTCAACCTGGGTGGTTCTGATAAAGCTCAGAATCAAGTGGCAAGGAGTTTAATTTTAAAAATCAATTCTTACTCAATATTTTTTAGTCTAATTTATCAAAGATGAAGCAATCGTCCAAGATACTAAAGAAATGTGATCAGAGTGCGGGGTAGTTTCTCGCGTGGTTCACAGGGAGATCTCAGGACAGACACGCGTCTCGCTCTGGACCCTTGGCCTTCTGCCTGGCGAGGGGCCCGAGTGAGGGCCACGGCGCCTTCACACTGACCTGGGGCGGTGGCCTTGCAGCAGCAGTAGGGAGACAGAGAGATGGTTCTTGAAGCAGCTTTTTGGGGCCGCCTCTTTGCCCTGCGTCCTCGCTCTTGGTCCACACTGCACACCCCCAGGCCCGCTCCGCAGGCAGAGCCTCTCTCTGCAGCTCCCTGGCTCTGCAGAGTTCCTGCCCCTTCCTTCAGCCCCAAACCATTCAGTTGCATCTGGCCCTGATTGCTCAGGAGAACAAAGTGGAAAATCTGAGAACAAACGAAGCAGAGCTTTAGGAGAAACTTTTAAAATTACCATTTATAACCCCAAATAAATAAAAAATTCCTCATATTGTCAAAGTCGTTGATATCTTTCCAGAATATCCTGATTGATCAGAGGACTTCAAGACTCCTCAGCTCCCGTCCAAGGCCCCAGCGGTGCTCACAGCCTCCCCTGATGGGCGATCTCTGCGCTGAGCTCCAAAGCCACGCTTGCTTTGCCCAGCGCTGCTGTGGCACCTTCAGGACCAAAATTCTACTTTGCTTCTTCGCTCAAGTCCACTTTGACAGAGTAGCAGGAAAAAAAAAAATTAGGAATGTTTATTACATAATAATTTTGCAATTAATTCCAAAATGTTTAAGGCAGTATGCTAGTTACCCGGGAGGAATGGTGTAAAGGAAGTGGGTCCAGGCAGGACCTCCCCGAAGCTTGCTGTCCTGCCAGTGTGAACGCCCCCTTTCTCCGGGTACAGATGTAGAAGTTTGAGGGGAGAACTTGCCTATAAAGTCGTGTCTAGATCATGCGGAAGATACATTCTGGAATGGGGAAAAGGATCATATTACAATACTACCAACACGCGCCCGAGTGTACAGTATTCGTACACTTTGTGTTCACTTCCAGCTGTGCCACGCAGTGACTTAGTCCGAGAACGTCCTACACTGTGTACTAAGCTCACACGTCACCCTTTCATTTTTTGATCTAACTCACTGTTGCCCTACAATGGTTTCTTTTATTTTAATAACTAGTTCCCCTCACTCTTTTGTAAGTATCCAGATCCCATTCTTCTGCTAATCTAGAAAAACTTTTTTCCCAAGCATTTCCTGTTCTTGTTCTCTTTTTCTTTGTAAAGACTTGTGTTAGGTTTATTTTGATTGCATTCATATAATTATTGCATTTTGAGGGAAGTGGAAAAGAAAGAGGCCTGTAAAGTCTTCATCTCCTCCCTCGTCCCATTGCAGATTGGAATCGAAGGTCTCTGATAACCATTTCTGTTCTGGACCTACTTTCTTCCCTTCTCAGAGAAAAGGAGAAGGCGAACAGCACAGTACTCATTCCTAGGCATTGCTTACTTCACACAATGAGGGTAGGGTCCACTGTCACACAGCAGAGAACCTGCTACCGTAGCACTGAGAAGAACCGGTCCACAGCAGGCAGAGAAGATTCGAGGAATCAGGTGGCCTGGCTCAGCCTCACCCCACCCGCAGCCCGCAGCCGAGCTCAGACTAGGCTGCTCTGGGCTGTGGCTCTAGCCGCATCGTTTTCTTCACCCCAACTCACTACTGTTATTTGTCTTCCACTTGAGAAGCTGTTCGGGAAAGCAATTTTATTATTTACAAACTATCTTTAGGGCCATAGAAATCTGCTTAAATTTCACCTCGAAAGCTTCACCCTATTTCTATTGTTCCATCTTTGCTTTCCACTGGGTTATGTTTGGGGGCAAGAAGAGGAATCTCATTTTTTTCTTTGTTAGGTATTAATAATTTATCCATCATTTATACATGATAAATTATTCATTTCAAATCGATCTGCAGCTGGCACTCTGTTTTGCTGTGTAAATCCTGTGGTTCTTGTCTCAAGAGCTATAGTGATAGTAGGCATTGTCTCACTAGGCTCTGAAACTTGGCCAGGCAGTGTAACTACTTGGCATTTGATTATGAAACTACTGTTACTGTGTTCTTTGAATATTCTTTGAGCATCCTACTCAAAGAGGAACTTTCTTAAGGTGCTCTATCATACGTTTTGGCTTTAGACAATTGACTAAATGAGTTACAATGTACGTTATCAGAAAACTGCCTTTCTACAAAATTGTATCCTCTTGCATCTATATTCTTAAAAGCCCACTTTCCTCATGTGAAAAATCTAGCCCTAGCCCTTTAGGATAATATCATTAGAAGGTGTTTTGTTTGGGTTTCCCAACAGAATCTGAATGCTGGATGTCAGATATCACCCCAAGGTTACTACAATCTGGCTGTTAGGAGGGGCCCCCTCTTCATTACCTCCCTTACTCCTAAATTGTGCTGTTTTTATGTCTTATTTGCACACTACTGGAATGAAGGAAGACTTGGAGCTCAGAAGACTGAGGAAGAAAATATCCTCATTCCATGAGCAGGAAGCTCTATTGCAAAAGTTAACAAATTTGACATACTCCGGTGGGGCAGTGTTTCACACTCGTCACTCGTCAACCAATTAAATGCAGGTTAGAATGAGCTTTAATGCCACCTGTTTAGGATGCTGAATCACGTCCTTGACTCCTGGATGGCCACAGCTCAGCTAAGACCAGCTACTGATGCTGATACAGGTTATGAAGCTTGATATTTTCATGGGAGCCATCGTCTGGGGACACATTCCTTGAGAAGATTTTCTGACATGGTAAACATTTTTAGTAAGTTCTTCCCCCTTTATTAAATAACTAAATTTTTTTTTTTGTTTAAGCCAATACTGAAATTTGATGAGTTTTGGATCCTTTCGCCTGTTACAGAGGTAGTTAATACCTTATATAACTGTAACTAGATCATGTTACCAGCAAGAACACCCAGAGTGGAACACTGCAGCAGCTGACTACTGCTGTGATAAAAGAGCTTTAAACAAAATGCTTCAACAAGCATGATTACTTTGTACAGCTCTATCCCAATTGGTTCACACATCCATGTTTGCATACCTCATTGCCCTGCCGTAAGATTTTAGTTAGTGTGTCCATCCAGCAAGACTCTCCATCCAGTCATTTTGGCGTTTGTATTTCAGTGAGGAAGGCATATCAAGCTAGTGCTACTTAATGTTGGATATTCTATTAGTGACTTATTGTAGTGATGTCTTTGATGATACCTTATTTCCTGGTTAAAACTAGTCGGACAGACTT